TGTAGAAGTGGTAATGGTAGTAATGGTAGTGGTAGAAGTGGTAGTGGTAGTAGTGGTAGTAGTGGTAGTAGTTGTAGAAGTGGTAGTGGTAGTAGTAGTGGTAGTAGTAGTAATGGTGGTGATAGTAGTTTGTTTCTGTGTCAAAAGTTGAGAAGCTCCCCTTGTATTGTGTGCTCTGAGTTCCTTCAATCTTTTCATCGTGTTCGAAACTTGTACGTTGAATATTGTTCTTGCTCAGCTTCCAACTTTAAACAATACCTGGTGTGCTCACATCAACATAAAACAATACCTGGCGTGCTCACATCAACATTAAACAATACCTGGTGTGCTCACATTTTTAGCTTTATTGTAGCCTTTTTGAGGTAGAAAAAAAGTTGAGCGAAGAAAAGTTAGAGTTGAGAGCAGGAGAAGTGTTATGTTTCATCAAAGAGAAAATGTGATTTTATGTTCCTTCCACTGTAGATCATACGACTTATTCTGTATGTAAATTTAGAAGCTCTTTTTCTATCTTATTTGCAAGCTTTAGCCTTGACGTTTGCATACTGGGATAAAAATAGATTGTTAAGATGATGGGAAGAATTTGTTTGACCTTGACCTTGCAGGTCTTTCCTCCTGTGGGGCGTGGTGGGGCGCACCAAGCAATGCCTGGACTTCACGGCGACCGTCCACGTGTTCCACTTCCTGGCCTGCTGGTACAGCTACGGATTTGTCCCCATCACGTTTTGGTGGTGGGTCACCAACGTGGGCTGTGTCGCTCTCACCACCGTCATGGCAGAGTTCTTGTGCATGCGCTCCGAGATGAAAGCCATTCCTGTGGGGATGGGGCCAAAGGTTGACTTGTAATGTCCAGTCAAGATTGGCAGGTTGTATTTGATTTCTCTGGTAGGGGGCCTACTGTGATGGGAATTTGTGTATGTGGCTGTTGTCTTTGTCATAAATGGGGGGGTGTCTGTGTGTGTTTGGACAGTGCACTCGTAATGAACTCTTTGAGGTGGGGAACAACAAATGTACCCAAGGACAAGCTTGCCAGCCATATGGAAAATGTTGAGCTTGTGGAGGAGTTCTGTGAGGGCAGACACAGACGTGTAGAATGACAGTCCAGTCCATTTAGAAAAGACTCTGCTATGACAGTCCAGTCCATTTAGAACAGACTCTGCTATGACAGTCCAGTCCATTTAGAACAGACTCTGCTATGACAGTCCAGTCCATTTAGAACAGACTCTGCTGTGACAGGAACTTGGACAGAACAGTGAGAAATCAAATCCATGTTTTTTTTCCTCTACAAGTGTAAGTACTATGAACCTGGCCATAACAGGTTTCAATTTTCGCTGACTCGGATACTGTTCTTGCAGCGCCTGAACTTGCTTTCGATCCGTCAAATCATTTAAATTTGTCTCAACCAAGACATTTGGCATGTTTGTATGATCGCTTGCCTAAACACAAACTTTCAACCCACCCCCCCCCCCCATAGTATTGGGGTCACTGATCGATTCCGTCTCAGTGTCAGCAAAACAGCCCTCTAGAAAAGGATCTGCGGTAATCGAATGTATGTTTATATGCTGCAGTAATCGAATATATGTGTGTATGCAGCGGTAATCGAATATATGTGTGTATGCAGCGGTAATCGAATATGTAAATTATGTGTGTATGCAGCGGTAATCGAATATGTAAATTATTTGTGTATGCAGCGGTAATCGAATATGTAAATTATGTGTGTATGCAGCGGTAATCGAATATGTAAATTATGTGTGTATGCAGCGGTAATCGAATATGTAAATTATGTGTGTATGCAGCGGTAATCGAATATGTAAATTATGTGTGTATGCAGCGGTAATCGAATATGTAAATTATGTGTGTATGCCGGAAGAAAGGTACCAAAAGTCACCACAGACCATTTTGAGCTACAGGCTGATAATGACAATAAATCACTTTTTGACCAAAATGTGTTTCCATTAAATAGGCAGCTTAGTGAACATGCTCGCAGCAGGGCGATACGCCCAATAGATTTTTGTGACTGGCCGTGAAGCCTCGCGTTATGGTGGGTCTACACACTCCCAGTTTTGTTTCTTTTTGTGAATCGCACTACCACTCCCGATACATCTTTCTAAACAGAAAAGAAAGGTCTTCAAAATGGCGGGCTTCGCGTGAAAATCAATTCGGTAGAGCTGGAAATATTTGCTTCTGAAAACAAGGCAATTTTTACAACGCGATAAAATGAAAACTACTGGCTGTATATTTATTAATCTTTCAGAACTTATAGATTATCCATTCTAGTTTCTTTTGACGCCCGAGTTGATTAGGTTGAACTTCGCTCATCGCTATGGGGCTTCCTGTAAAAATGCATACAAAAAGGCGAACCGCCGAATCGACCGGTCTGTGACCTGGCGCCCCCGCTCTCCCCTACACACTGCGATAACGTATTGTATTTATTCGCACTTTACTTGTTTATTCGCACTTTACTTGTTTATTCGCACTTTACTTGTTTATTCGCGCTTTCCTTGTTTCTCCGGATAAGAATAATACGTGCGGCGATGAAATTATGAACGGACTGACAAAAGAATTCCCAGTTTTGTTTTTATTTTTCCATGTGTGGCTCTTGAATAGTGCAAATGATAGCTAATTCTAGATTCCCTGTGTAGAATTGAGCAGTGCTAGGCCAGCAGCAGTCAGAAAGCCAGCGTCTGCTAGATCTAACTGTTTATGCCTTTGGGCTTTGGAATGGAAATAAATCTTGAATTGCACAGTTCTAATTGAGGGTAGATTCAGCACCTAGCTATAGCTTCCAGAGTTTCTAATAAATCTCATCATGACAATCACTTTAACTTTTATGAGACAACCCTTTTCTCCAATCAGTTTTGTGCAAACCGACTAGTTAGTACCGGTAGTAGAGAACAGAGTTGGCAGAGATCTAAGCCTCAGCTCAGTCTTTCACTTTTGTACCTAATAATTTTATCTTATTATTTTCTGGATATTATTACTTTTTACGTTATCAAATTGTGCCATTTTCTTTGATATAATGTATGGCCAGTGAGTCTCTGACTCAATATTTAAAAAAAAAATTGTGCTCATCAATGAAAATTGCTAGTTGATAATAACTCAAAACAATACAATTGTCATGAAGAGGGAAGAAAAATGTGTGACAAAATAATAGAATGAGGTAGACTATAAAAATATAGAATCTGATTTGTCCCAAAATTGTAAGTGAAAATTGTGCGAAGATCATAAGCTGATTTTGTTATTTTCTGGTCATCTTTCTGCTGTTTATTAAATGTTCCAGTGGGTCTACAACTAGGTCTCCGGAGAACATTTTTATTGACGTTATAAGCTCTTTGTGCACTTGAAAGCATAAAATATAGCTTCACACAAATGTATGTTACAATGTTACAATACTTTGTAAAAGAAGGATAGGGGGCTGACTTATGGCGGTCATTAAGAGGTGTTTTTTTGAAAGAATCCGTTTTACGATTAGAAAAACATTAAAAACACGTTTTGAAATCTTAAGAATGACCATAAAAATTGGAAATTATTACTTAATTGGCTTAACTCTTTAATAATTATGAACAGTAAATAAAGACAAAGAGAATAATGTATAATTTGTCTAAATAATATATGACAATTAGCGGCAAAGATATAGCTCATTTTGTCCATTTCAGGTTATCCTTGCGGGGGATTTTTTATCACCCTGAACCTCTAGAAGTACCCAAAAAATATTTCTGTGACTTTGTAAAGAGGGGTTTTATAGAGTTGTGTGCATTCTGTGTAAAATTCCCAACAAATTGATGTACAACACTTTAAAAAATCTGCATTTTGTGTAGAGTAATGGTCATTTGTGTAGAGTAATGGTCATTTGTGTTGAGTAATGGTCATTTGTGTTGTTACGTTGCATTTTGTGTAGAGTAATGGTCATTTGTGTAGAGTAATGGTCACTTGTGTAGAGTAACGGTCACTTGTGTAGAGTAACGGTCAGTTGTGTAGAGTAACGGTCACTTGTGTAGAGTAACGGTCACTTGTGTAGAGTAACGGTCAGTTGTGTAGAGTAACGGTCACTTGTGTAGAGTAACGGTCACTTGTGTAGAGTAATGGTCATTTGTGTAGAGTAACGGTCACTTGTGTAGAGTAACGGTCACTTGTGTAGAGTAATGGTCATTTGTGTAGAGTAATGGTCATTTGTGTAGAGTAACGGTCACTTGTGTAGAGTAACGGTCAGTTGTGTAGAGTAACGGTCAGTTGTGTTGTTACGTTACATTTTGCTGTCACAAAAACTCCGTGGTAAAAGTGGCCTGAAAGTGGCCGGATTTTAGGCATGAAAAATCGCCATAACTTTTTAACTAATAAAGATATCAACAAAATTTAAACTGTTTTATGATCATGAAGGCAATAGCTTTCAAATGAAAGTATTTCAAAGCATATATCAGACAAATTTGAAATTTTCACTAAACTGCCTATCATTTAAAAAAATGATAGTTTCACCATTTTTTAACAAATGTGTCATTGATATGACTTCTAAAATATTTTATTTTGAATTATTTTTAGGGCAGGGTATTTTTGAAAGAGATAATGAAAACTGATTTGAAAAGGTGTTATGGCGCTCATATGACCTTAATCAGTTGCGAGCGTCGTAAAACCTTACTAAAACTAAAAACTAAAAGGTGTTAAAATCTATTCTTGAAACATGTTTTCTCTTCCCCGCTATGTTTTACCATTGAATTCTAATCATGACATTGATGGCAACTGAATGCCAAATTGGAAATGAGTTTTCCATAAATAAATACATTTAAAAAATTTAATCCTCGGTTTTTTTGTTTTTTTTTCAAGTTTGTTTTGTGTTCTTAACTTAACAGGTAATTTTCTCAAATTAGATCTTTATACCATACATACCTTACCTCGCAAAATGTGCGATATCTGCCTATCTGATCAGCTGCATGTATTTAGAAATAAGAAAAATTAGTAAAATACGTCATCTGATCAATACCAAGTATAATGCTATACTAGTAACTAGCTTAATTTTATCAAAACTCGATTATTGTAACTCCTTGTTATCAGGAATATCACTGGAGAAAGTTAAAAGACTTCAAACTGTCCAAAACAATGCAGCACGTTTAGTTTTACGGAAAAGAAAGCGAGACTCTGCTAAACCTCTTTTACGAACTTTGCATTGGCTTCCTGTTGAGAAAAGGATTGTGTACAAGTTGGCCACCATATGTCACAAATGTTTGAATGATAATGCACCATCATATTTATCAAATCTGTTAAGACTGTACATTCCAACTCGCAGTTTAAGATCATCAGCTGACAAAAAGAAATTTATTTTACCATCTATGAAACTTAAAACAATGGGTGAAAGGGCATTTGAATACCAAGGCCCCAAGATCTGGAATGCTTTACCAAGTACGTTGAGAGAAATCAAATCTTTTGATTCATTCAAATGTCAGCTGAAGTCGTTTCTCTTTTTAAATTAATAAGATGAATATTTGGAATAATTTTCATTAGTCAGAACACGACGTTTTATGTTACTGTTGTATGTTGTACTGTATTGTAAAGCGCTTAGAGCCTGTGTACTTTATTCGGGGTTGAGTGCTATATAAATGTCATTTATTATTATTACATCTCAAAAACTACTTGAGATATCTCAGAAATTGAAAAACCCACTGTGTTCAGCATTGAATTTCCTACTACTAATAAAATATGTACAACCCGTAACTCAAAATGGTTAAAGTCCGAATGCTAGAAATGACGTTTGACTGTATTCTTATGAATGCTAGAAATTACATTTGACTGTGTTCTCGTGAATGCTACAACGGACATATTCTCGTGAATGCTACAACTGACATATTCTCGTGATTGCTACAACTGACATATTCTCGTGAATGCTACAACTGACATATTCTCGTGAATGCTACAACCGACATATTCTCGTGAATGCTACATGTGACATATTCTCGTGATTGCTACAAATGACATTTGACTGAGTTCTCATGAATGCTACAAGTGACATTTTTTCACCATAAAATTCGTCCTTTGCTGGTGTCCTTGTCTGTAACTGGGGTCAAGGACGTTCTTGTCGGGACGGGACAGTTCTGATGTCATGTTTTGTTTCCTTTGTCCTGATTTGCTCCTTGTGAGATAAGGCCGTTGCCATGGCAACTTGTAGATATATTATGGTATCATCCCAGCATATGCTGTCAGCATTGCTAGCAATCTGCAATAAATCTAGGAAAAGTCATTTTCATGAGAAACGCAATTCTTTGACAAAGTAAACAAAAATTCAAGTCGTATATAGAGGCATATTTGTAAAGAGTGCGTCTTCATTTTTGAATTGACAAAGGTGGGGGGTTTTTTCCCTTTCATTTTGTGGCGTTATGATTCAACAAAGTTTAAAAAAAGCTAATTTTGGCTTTTTGTGGTAAGTGCAGATTTGACAAATTACCACACACTACTTGGTATCTCACTGGAACATTTCAACATGCCTTGCTTCAACTCACACAACTTGGTATCTCCTCACTGGAACATTTCAACATGCCTTGCTTCAACTCACACAACTTGGTATCTCCTCACTGGAACATTTCAACATGCCTTGCTTCAACTCACACAACTTGGTATCTCCTCACTGGAACATTTCAACATGCCTTGCTTCAACTCACACAACTTGGTATCTCCTCACTGGAACATTTCAACATGCCTTGTTTCAACTCACACAACTTGGTATCTCCTCACTGGAACATTTCAACATGCCTTGCTTCAACTCACACAACTTGGTATCTCCTCACTGGAACATTTCAACATGCCTTGCTTCAACTCACACTA